TATATATATATATATTTACTTTGAGGATAATCTTTTTCTTTGTGGAATTCTGAGTGTCCCTTTTTCATAGCATCCTGAAGTTGTCTTACCTTCTCAGATCCCTCTGGGCATATAATTAGAATTTTTCAACTTTGTTTCTGTTCCTTACATTTTATCATTTTGTTTTAAGGGACAATTTTTCTGTTTGTTTTTTTTTCTGGACTTTGCAGTCTGATAGCACTCAGTCTAGCATCTATTGCTCTTCTCCTCCTCCATTCCAAATACAAGAATGAGAGGGTAGCGGGCCAACATCTAGTGTAGAGGCTTAGCTTTTTGGATGTCTTGCAGTTTCTTTAAAGAAGAGCTTTCTGATGAACCTCTGGTTCCTGAATTGAACCTTGGGGTGGGTGTACGGATGCCAATGGCAGGGTCCACTGATATGGTGTCTCTTCCTCAGATGCCTGGGGAGTTCCTCTGGGTTCCTTTCCACATCTCACGTGTGCCTGCTGATGCTTCTGCTTCCTTTGAGCTCAAAACCTTGTGGAGGTTCCTTTGGTTAGGTTGGCTCCTCCCCCTCTAAAGTGGCACCTGCCCTTTGCACATAAACCCTTGCAGATCTGCTCCCTGTTTTCACGAGGTCTGGTGTCTGTCTTTTCAATTCCTTTTAATCTTACTCTACTTTTATGTTTGTTCTCAGAAGGGATGGAAGACAGGCTCAGTATCTTACCTGCTTTGAAACTACAGGTCCCCTCAAGACTTCTAAAGCCCTTGCTTAACACCACGTATATCCTGCCAATCCTGAATCAACCACTTCTGGACTCTCCCAGGTCCACTGGGAAAAAATTATATAATTGTGCTGATTGGCTCCATTACAGATTTATGAGTTCCAGTCTTAGCAGGCCCTCCTGTGCTGAGCCATCCATTTGCTTAGCCCCAGTCAACTCCCTGCCCCAAGCTCACGATGATGATCCTTTTTCTTTTTCTTTCTTTTTTTAAAATCCCTTCTTCAAGTCCTTCATCTTGGCCTAGTTTTATTTTTCTTAGTGGCCAACCAATTCCATATTAGTGAGAAAACAGAGTTCCCAAGAATGAACTCTGAACTTCCCTCAAACTCTTTTTTCTAAGAAAGTATTATTTTTAAATGCTGACTCCATCGTTTTCTAGCCAAAAAAGTTACCTAATATTGATGTATTCTGTTTCCTCCTGTGTAGAATTGGTGATCATGTCTATCTCTCCCAGCATAATTAAAATAAAATACATATGGGTGAAAAAATTAAAATAATGCAGAAGGCTAAAAAATGAGAAGCCAGTATCTCCTTCCCTTATCTTCAACATCCAGCTTGAATCATTCAGATATTTTAAACAATACTTATGGTTTTGATTTGAAGGATTATTTAAGGGAAGGTTCTTATACTTACTAACAAAGAATCCAGCATTTAGAATGTGCTGAAAAATTATTTTCTTGTCTTTATTCCTTTCCCTTGTGATCACGCAATAGAACTCAGCTATTTTTTTCTTCTTCTTTAAAATGTGAATGAATGTCAGACCTCTACCTCTGCTCAGGGGTGTTAAGTATATAGTGTTGCTGAACTTGGTAAGAACTCAGTGCATCTTAGTTATGTAAATTCATGATTAATGGCACACCTCTTCTCTGTTGACTGAAATCATCCAAGGAAAAGCAACCTCATGAGGAGTGCAGAACCTAATTGTTCTGGTCTTTGCAAACTGATTTCAGTAAAGTTTATGAATTATCCAAGGAAAAACCTAGTTTCCATGGAGAATTTCTCTGGCTTCCTAACTACTTTTAGGGAGATAGAATGAATAAGAATAAACAATTTTGAGTGGTGCAGCAGTAGAGGCATGCCACTTTTAGAATGTGGAAAAAGGTGTGTGTGGGGTGGATCTGTTCTTTATGTAGGGTGTGAGCTACAGTTCAGCTTCACCCATTTGGCTGAGTTCTCTTCTGCAGTGTCCAACCTGCTCGACAGTATGTGACTGCCAGCCTGGTAAAAATTATATTGTGCTCTGAAATATTTTTAAGGCTTGTACTTCGGTATTCTTTTTCCTCCTATAAAGTCAATAAAGAGAAAAATGGCACTAAAGAGTGGAATCTTTGTTAGGCAGCTGTTTGGCTCAGGAACAGTGATTGGCACTTACGGGTGTCTTTTATGTATAATGCTTATAGCACTTACAGCATCGCTGTAACGTATATATTATTACCCACATTTCAATGTAAGAAACCAAGGCTTTGAGATTAAGTGATTTACTCAAGGGCCTCAGTTAATAAGGAGTGGAACAAAATCACACCCTGATGACCTATTTCAGAGCTTGTGTTCTTTCTGAACACCACACAGAGGTGTGTTGACATTACCTATTTCACACAGGCGCACACCTGTGTGTCCACGCCACCTTCTTACTGATTGGGCGGTAGAGCTGGCCTGCGCCTTCCTCACTTCTGCACTGCTCCCTGGTATTCCAGGGCAGCTGAGGCACATGCGCAGTGCTATAGCTCTGCTCATCTGCTGCATCTGCCCTGCAGCTCTGAAGTCATGCGGTAGAGGTTTTTAGCTTGGCCTTGCTCCACACTAGCTGCATGGGCACAGGAGAATTATTGGACTTCTCTGTGCTTGGTGTCTATCTTTTTAAGGTGAGGAAGCAGATAGTATTTATCTTGTTGAATTGATGTGACGGTTGAATAGGTACTTGGTACCTATTCAAGGTACCAAGTTGTTGCTTGATTCCATTGGGGATCAACCCTAGAGCCTCACACTGTGCCTTAATTTCTTTCTTTTTTTTTTTTTTTTTTGGTACCGAGGATTGAACTCAGGGCCGCTTAACCAGTGAACCGCATCCCTGGCCCTTTCTCATATTTTATTTAGAGACAGGGTCTTGCCGAGTTGCTCAGGGCCTTGCTAAGTGGCGAGGCTGATTGAACTCGTGAACCTCCTGTCTCAGCCTCCTGAGTCTGCCTTACTTCACCTGACTGTACCTCAGTTTCTTCAGCATTAATCTGAACTTGGTAATAGGACCTCTCCCTTAGAATCATAGAAAAGCTAGAATGGGATAAGACACATAAAGAGTCAGCAACTAATAACTATTTAATGATATTTTATCATCTTTAATATGAAGAGAAATATGCTTGCAGTCATACAGAGTTCACTGATTTTGAATGCAATATTTCTGATTATTAAACGTTTCTGAAAGAAGGGGAAAAGCATAAAGAAGAGAGCACAATATAGATGCTAACTTCATTTCTCAAAGTTTTGCATGGCGATTTTTACCTTATAGGACTTAATAACTGACCCTCCTTTGTG